CCAGGGTTCCCCTTTAGGACTCAAGTGTGGGAGGCATTGGCTCCAGCAGGCAGCCTCAACAGGCTCCTGTGAAAGGGAGAGWCCTCTCTACTGCTGACCCAGGCAACACAGGAGCCGTCCCTGGAGTCCAAGGACCTCTCTGAACCAGCCATGGAACTGAAGGAAACAGCACACAGGATTTTCTTTGCCTACCCATGGACAAACCCAGCTGAGCCCATTCCCTGTAAGAGCTGCCTCCATAGAATCATTCAGCTTAGGCCTTGCAGGAAGGTCCTCCCCAGGGAGCAGCATCCAAATCCTCAGGTGGTTGCTCTGGAGTGGAGGACCCAATGGTGTTACTGAACMCCTGTCYTGTCAGCAAGTTAACATGGCAGGTCCTCTCKTAGGAAGCTAACAGAAAAATCCTGGTTCTCTGAATGGGAGAACAAACATGATTTACAGTTTCTTCCTGTTTTTCCTTGGAGATTTCCAATTTTTATTACTTTCCCAGGAACATATTAGTTTATTTTTTAATAATGCCATGTTTCCATAATTCTGTGGCATATGTTATTTCTTTGTTCATGTTAGTATGAACCATCAAGGTGTGATTGCTTTTAGTGACATAACACACACAGAGCAAAAGGCAGACACTTAAGTGTGAACCTGAATGGATTTTAAAGTACAGTCCTATCCCTGGAGGAGCTGCAGGAGATACCATTTCTCCATCTGCCTTCTGCTGCCTTCTCCCATCAACAGCCTCCCAAGTTGGCTCTATTCTGAGGTCTAGCACAACTGCTTGGGTTTCTTGAACTTTATCTTCATGTGAAATTCAGTGTTGCCTTGTGTCCATAGCCTCTCTTATTTCCATCTTGAGTCCTTTCTTGTTCCCTGTGGCCTCTAGACCKGTCTGGTCATTTCCTGGGGTCGTAGAGGGCTTCCTCTGAGGATCCAGGTGGGGCTGTCTGTCTAATGGCAGCTCTTCATTAGTGCTGATTTGCCTCTATTGTTAAGGTCTGTTTAGGGGTGTGGAATTCTGCTCTAACTCTCCTTTCAATAGCCCTCACTCTACTGTGATTCAGCATCACTTGGTCACA